CTAATAAGCCCTCTCCCCGCCACCCCCACAGCTGGTCCGGCCCCATCGGGCCCTGATCGGGAGCAGGGCCAGCTGGCCAACTGCCCGCAGCCCCCTGGCCCGCCCCATACCTGATTAATGCCCCCCTGGGGGCCAACCTCCTGCGGCCCTGTCCCCAGGCTAGCAGGCCCCAATCACCTAATTGGGGCCTGCCAGCCAACCTCCCAGTCCCTCCCCCTGGCAGGCCCCAATCACCAATCAGGGCCAGGCCCCAGGCTGGGACGAGGAACCAGGGGAGGGTGGTGGCAGATGCAGTGAGGAAAGGAGGGGCGGAGGTCGGGAGGCAGGGAACCGTGCAGTGGCAGTGCGTGGGCGAAGAGGGAAGGATGAGGGGAGAGGTGGGAGGTGGGGAACTTGATTGGCCCTGATCGCCAGCCAGGCCTAGGGAACTGACCTGTGCATGAATTTTGTGCACTGTGCCTCTAATTATTTATAAACACCAAACAAACCACTAAAACTTTGCCTCAAAAATACGATGAGGATTTTATAATTAAATCCTACTTCATTTATCGGTCAAATCAAACTTGAGGTGAGAGGACACAAGCAGACCATATTCGTAAAAAGCCATATTTTAAGAGATGTTTAGATTAAACAAACTTAATAACTTAATTGGAAAAAAAGAGAGATTAAATGAAACAAAAGAAGTGTGATGTTACAATTCAAATCTACTTTTTTTTTTTCTTGACTCTAGATTTGACATAGAAGTCTGGTCTGGCTGGTGTGGCTCAGTGGTTGAGCATCAACCTATGTACCAGGAGGTCATGGTCAACTCCTGGTTAGGGCACATGTCCAGGCTGCAGGCTCGATCCCCAGTGGGAGTCGTGCAGGAGGCAGCAGATCAATGATTCTCTCTCATCATTAATGTTTCTATCTCTCTCTCCCTCTCCCTTCCTCTCTGAAATCAATTAAAAAAATTTTTTTTAAAGAAGTCTGTATCATCTACTAGGTATCTTATAAAAAATTTTCTGTTTCAGGTCTACACATTCCAATTTGTCAAAGTCTACTTAAAGAGATATTTTTGCACCACACCAGAGAATAAGATTTGGCATATATCAGCTACAAATATGACCCCTAACCCTAACCCTAACCCAAACTTTCAACTATCAAACCAAAGAAAACTGGTACTGCTGTAAATTCATCTATTGAATTAATTATATGCTCATTAGAGAGGTCCTTATAGAAAAGGTACCATTTAAGTTCCACATGGCATTATATGAGCCATTTAAAATGGGACTTATCCATCTTTGCTCTATTCAGAAAAATTTTGACTTATAAAACAATTCTGTTTATTTCTCTATCTGACTTATACTTTGATTCTTGGTTTGCTTCAGGTACAAACTCATACATTTATACATACTATGTTGCTACTAAGAATGAATATTTTAAAATATTTATAACAATTAAAATATAAAAAAATAAGCTATAAAAATAAACATATTCAAAGGTACATGGTCTTCAGATCCTAGGTAGGGAACATCACTCACACTCTATATTTCATGATCAAACAAAGCAAAGGCCCTAACGAGGAATACCAGAAAACAGGAAATCCTTGGTAATCTTCCAAAGTCCTAGCAACTTTTCCAAAAAATATAAATAAATAAAATTGTGCTGACAAATAAAATAATGACTAACCTATTAAGCCAATAGCTTTAGGGTAAAGACCTACCTTCCTCAGACTCTTTGTCTTGCTTCTGTAGCATCTGCTGCTCTGGGGGTAGGGCTTGTTGAAGAAGCTGCATGTAAAATTCGTTCTCTTTTTGTACTTCCTTTTGCTTCCTTAACCGCATTTTGTAGCTTACATAACTTTTGAAGCCAAAGCCCAAAGTCACCACAGGGTACCCAATACTAGAGAGAAGACAATCCAGCCAGTAATTGCAAGTTAAAAACAAAAGAACACGTGCATCATGCACATGAGGACACCTATGACTGAAATTAAGAAATAAACTCTAGATGATGATAGCTGAGCATTCAGCAAACACATAAATAAATGGGATGTCTGCTGTGGAAATCAGAAGCAGTTGGTCTGGAGAACAAACCCCCAGGGAACAGTGGGATCATCAGACCATAAGAAGCTGCCCATCAGAGTTGGCATTCTTCAAGCTAACTCAAGAAGTTACCACAGTGATTGCCGGATACAGTGGCTAATGTTGTTGATTAACATTGAAGTGCCTTGTGCAATATTAGAATTTGGGCATCTGTATGCTTTTAAGATCTAACAGGGTAGGGATCATAAGTCAATATCGTAAGTGTTAAAAAATCAAAAGGACATCATTTGTTTTTTAATACCAGAAAACAGGGTCAAATTTAAGTGACTAATTTAATCTTCTTGCTACCTGAGGGAATAAAAGTTGAAATATTTTCATTCAACTCATCAGTCTGTTTCAAAGCCTCTGCAAATACTGTCAAAACTCATATTATACTTCATTAATTTTAATACTTAGTCTCTGGAAAGCAATGGTAAAAAAAATAGCCTCATGTGAGAATTAACAACAAAAATAGTTTCATGGTTAAGATTAAATGAATAAACTATCTTAATATTAATTTACATTTTAAAAGAAAAAATATTCCTTTAAATAGTAATAATATTCCATTAAATATTAATATTTTCTTGCTTTTATAAATTAGATATAAAAATTATAAATTCAATTATGTTTTATGAAATAGTCATATATTTCATCAAGACTTTTTAGGATCAATACCTGATCATTATGAAAACAGATAACATTTATCAGATACCTAGGTACTTGGCATTAAGTTAAACACTTTACATACATCTCTTCATTTCACCTTTCCCGTATCCCCATGAGACAAGTCCCCAGTATACAGGTAGGAGAACTAAGGCTTAGAGACAGTGACATCCATGTGCAGGGCAACAACGCTGTTAGGGGACAGGGCTGGCGTTCAAACACTCATTTGCCTGAACAGAGAGAGCTCATGCTCTTTGCCACCATGTTGTGTGGTCTTCTGGGTTCACATAAAATCTCTAAGAAAAAATTTACAATTGAACCTACCATTTACATTAAAAACGCTGAACTGAATGATAGATTAAGAATATACATAATACTACCAATCAGAAAGGATATATGCACCCCTATGTTCATAGCAGCACAAGTCGCCATAGCTAAGATCTGGAAACAGCCTAAGTGCCCATCAGTAGATGAATGGATTAGAAAACAGTGGTACATCTACACGATGGAATACTGTGCTGCTATAAAAAAGAAGGAACGTTTACCCTTTGCAACAGCATGGATGGAACCGGAGAGCATTATGA